GATAGACCACAAATCCTCGCTAAAGAACACCGATTCCTTCCAAGGATGATTCGCGAGGCTATTGAAATCAAAAAACATCCTAATTTCAATAGAGAAGATGGCTGGGTGCTACCATCTGCTTGGGATCCTATAATAAATAAAATTAAATCCCAACCCAAGCATACAACTGCAAGACTCCATGATACCATAAGTTCATACTGTGTAGATCGGAACAAAAGTAAAATTTTAATCTATGGTAACCGCGGTTAACTATGACAGCTGGACGTTGAACATCTCAGTCCTTCCCGTGACCATGGGTGCTGTAAAGCTCTCGAAACGTCGGGTAAAAAAAAGTTAAAAAAAAAGTTAAATATACGCGATAAATTCCGTAAAAATTAGTATTATTTCAATGTGTAGTGTTCGCGTAAATATAAGAAATCATTATGATGAAGCGATTTGATTTCCGCCATTTTGGCGCTGACAGCAGGAGTGCACGTCCACGGAACTAATAATAGGGATAAGACAGTGCGGCAAAACATATCGATAAAAATTCTATACCTAAATAAATAGAATGGACTCTATGGATAGACGGATTCTACCCACAACGTCGATTCTATTTATGTATCATATTAATATAACGCTATTATCATTCATCATCATTAAAGCCCTTCACAAGTCCACTGCTGAACATAGGCCTCCCCCAAGGAATGCCACAAAGTATGGTCCTGAGCCACCTACACCCATCAACTTCCTGTATGTCTTACCAGGTTTTCACTCCATCTAGTGGGGGAACTTCCGACACTTCACTTGCCAGTATAAGGCTGCCACTCAAGAACCTTTTTTCCCCATAGGTTATCGGTTCTTCAAGCTATATGGCCGGTCAATTGCCACTTCAGCTTACTAATCCATTAAGCGATGTCGGTCACTCTGGTTCTACTGCCGATATCCTCATTCCTAATTTTATCCTCCTAAATTTTCCAGCTTCGGCAGTGCTACGTATTCTAGGGGCTTGACATATCGACACTTAATTGTCTTTGTCGGTGGATGTTGCGCAAGAGGAAGCTACCAAAACCGTGAATGTAAACGATGGCCAGAATTTTTAAATAAGAAATAAACTAAAGTAGGGCCACTACGAAGTTAAAGCACAAATTATATCTTGAGACTCGAGAGAGAATTAAATCTCTAGACTCGGACTTAATAAAACCCCATGTTGTTCTACCTCCGCCGCAAATTGACAGGGCCACGGAAACGCCTACATGTACACCCACGGCCCCTCCGACGCCAGCCGCCTAATGGCAGCCCCTCCTTTGTTACTGACTTCTACCCCCGTTTTTCACGGCCTCCGACTCCACCTAAACTACGGACTCCCCGAGCTCCATATGTGAATGGAGCCAGGAAAAAAACGAGCACTTGGAAGCCTCAAGTGGTATAGCCTCAGCAAAGTCGCGAAGGATAGTCGAGTGGTGTTCTCGATGTTAGCGTTCCCTGACGACTCCACCTCCTCTCCGAATCTCGAATCTCCTCTAGCCGCAGCCCACTAACACACATCCAAGGTGGCTCGACATCATCAGGTGACTTTTCGACACTTGGCTATGGTCCTTGAGTTTGTGGGAAAATGAGGAAAGAAGAAATTAAAACATTCGGAAATAACTGATACTACGGTACTGGTACTACCAGAAAATATTGTCGGAATACTGGACTTTTTCAAAGTGGTGCAGGTCTCATGTCTAATAAAACAGTCGTCTGTGAAATATTCAGAACGAGTATGATCATTATGTTTCGGACGCCAATTCACAATATTTATGTTTTTAAGCCATAATTTTATTCTAGGTTCAGTTGGAAACCTGTTAATTTATAAACATCTGTTGTTGGCGACTTTGTTTGTTAACAGATATGAGTAGGAAAGAATATCGATAAGTATTATAGACAAGGAACTCGACTACCCTATTGAATTTTATTGTTTATCAAAACTCACTAATATACAGCCAAATATGTTGGTATATATGATATTAAGATTAATAACAAATTTTTAAGTATTTATATTATCAAATAGTTTTAATTTGTTTAATATTAGCTGCAAATTCACTTACTCGTGAAATGTTACACCACTTCCCTTTTGGTAACGAGTTTTACAGATTACGCACACTCATTATTATTAAAAATAATTCTTATTATGTAACTAATATTATACACAATCAAACAACATAAAATATTTTCGTTTTTTTAGTTTAAAAGTTCAGAATATAGACTTAATAAATAAGACAGACTTTGGCATATTTATGTCAATTTTATTTTTCAAGACTTCAAATTCAAATTGTCATCAGTCGTTTTGTATGGTATAGCCATATATATATATATATATTTTGAGGTCAGTGCCTAAGAAGGTTATAGTAGGGGTTTTATTTTCGCCTTTTATGGACAGAAAAAAAAGATGCTTATATTAAAATTTAATACCCTGACTTTGACCTTAACTTAATTTAATTAAGTTAGGGTGAGCTTTTCTGCTTAATTTATGTTTAATCTACTTTACCTGATCTTGGATCTTCCTCTACAAAAAGTCCATTCACTTATATATTCATAACTATGTATAATGCTGTATCATCGTCTCGTCTTGATAAAAACAATTCTGACTAACACGTGCGGATCTTCGCAAAACGTGATAAAATTGCATTTGTATGCTGGACATTGCTTTTAAAAATATTAAACGTCTCTCGTATCACAGCCATTCCACGGCCTGCTCTGCAAAAATGTATATAATATATTTAAACAAGGAATTACAGTGAATCAACTAATTACGTGGTTTTTACGTGCTACAGCTATATAAGTAGTACAAGCAACTGTAGCCTAATGGCAGGCCGCGGATCGCGAATTCAAAAGGTCGTGGGTTCGAATCCGTCATTTAACTACTGTCGTGAATCACTCCTGACACAAGCGTTTCAAGCTTACCAGGAGTGGTTAAAAGGAATATTAGTAATGTTAATTAATAAGATTACTAATGGGGGGGGGGGGGGGGGCCTCAAAAAAAATAAAAACCATCTCCCCCCCCTGTTTTTTTGGGGCGGGCTTTTTTTGGCTGTCTTCTCTTTCTGTGGTGACAACGTATCTATCTGCATTTTGATCCGTAATTACGGATAAATGTAGATGTCTATGGGCCACAGCAACTTACCATCAGATGAAGTGTGTGCTCGTTTTACTACTTTATTTTATTAAAAAAATTTACTGCCTAGTTGGTTTAGCAGTCGCGAGCACGATTGCTGATTCGGTTGTCCAGGGTTCGTCCGTCAAAAAATTGTCAATAGCAAGCCAGAGTCAAACAGTTGACTTTGTTTCAAACCCGTGCCTCAGAAAGCACATAATTCCGCTAATCCTGCGCCAGATCTCTCGCAAATCATATCGGATTATCTTCCCGTCTTGCTATGAGAGTAAAAAATAGGTTGTACACCTGTGCTTGCGCAAATACTCGTGCACTATAATCATGCCCTGTGCAGATAACTTTCTCGTAGATGAGTCTCGAGTCAAATTGACAGCCGTGATCGAAATGACCGAAAAATATAAATATTATTCATAATTAAATAATTAACAAAATATAAAAAACAGTACTCACAATAATGAAAATTATTAATGCCTATCCAATTTATTAGGATAGAAATACAATTTCATCAAATTGTTACATGTAAGTACATATTTTTTATAATTTCTATTACATTTCCTCAATACCCCAGTCAAAGATGAAAAGGTCAAATTAAATCACACAATTACTTATTATTTCACTGAAAATATTTCCCTTCACTTTACAGTTTCCTTCATTTTTATTGAAGACACAATCTTTAAAGGAAAATACATAGGCATAAATTTATTCTAAAGATAATGAGCAATTATAATTACGTATTCCGTAAATTACTTTTCTTTTATTTCTTAATAGAATTATAAGTAGACAAGAATAAAAAGCATAATGTACGTAAGATGTACAGAGATGCGCCACTAGAGGGGGGTGTCGTATATAGGGAAGATGCGGCGCACGTTGTATTAACAGTGCGCGGCCGCGCATTTTGACGTACGTTACTTTTTCCCGCGCACAGTTTAAAGTTTGTGTTTCCATTTGTGCACTTACGGAATCCGTTTGATTTTTTGGTGAGTTAATAATATATACATAAGTCACATACTGGATTCGAATACGTGGTGATTTATATTGTAAAATCTATTTTATGTGATAAGAAAAAATATTGATTGAAACTAATTTTTACTTGCGTTACTTGAGTTTCATTTATTATTAATTAAAGACTTTGAGTTTGCATTGGAATTTACGGTTTACCCTTTTATCTTTGTAATTTGATATAACGTTCATTAGTATATTTATTAAAAAAAAGTTGCAAATTGACGACACTCACGATACAAGCCGAGTTTAATTGTCACTAGTTTTTTTTAAAAACACTATTTCTATTTTAATGTAGCATATTGAAGCGATGTGTCCTCATTGTAAAGTGAATGTGAAATATAGTTTATTATTAATTTACCTTAGTAGTTCATTAAACTTGATAAAATATTTGTTCTTTATTACCATTATATGCCAGTACTGGTCTGAAATGCCAACTGATGGCCAATGTAAGTGATGAGGAAGTACTAGATGGTTAATTGCTAGGTTAACGAATCCGTAAAATTGAGTTTCATTCAAAGTAAGTACCTAAGTAAATTCTCACCTAAGTATGCGCGTAAACTTAGGAAATCGTAAATGAAATAACATTTAATAAATATAGAAATTTATGAAAAAATATTTTTACAGCTATTCGTTGTCTCGTTAGAAAATTGTACCATTCCATCCTTTACAGCCTATTGAAGTCCACGACTGAACACAGGCCTCCCCCATAGATTGCCTCATAGAGGGGATTAGACGGCTTAAATAAAAAGCATACTGTAATAAAATATTTAAATACCTAAATAAATATCATATAATAAAGCAGTACGCACACATTTATTAATTCTAAACTATTGTCCACAGATCTAAGCCGTTGAAACCCTAAGAAATGGCTTTCATAAAATCAATGGTAAGTTTCAACAACATCCTACAACTCTTAAAATAATTTTGATCCCTATGAAAAACCTAACATGTGTTTTCTTTAAACAGAAAAATTACAATAAATCGAGTTTATAAAATTAAAGAACTAATATTATTATTAATAAACGGCATTAAAAGTTTTTTTTATTTAGCACTTAAATGTTTTTATAATGTAATTTATAATTATTTTAAAGTAATAATTCTTAAAGCAATTTTCTAAAACCTAACCTATATCCGTCTCGATATCTTAATATCCACTCACAATTAATATGTAAACGATTATTTATATTTTTTTTAATTTAAATTAATTATTTTTTAAAACCTTCCGTGATAAATTTAATTTTAGATAACATAAAAATATTGTATTGCACGTCGCTGCTTTTCTTTTTGCTAAAATATTTAAAAAGATATATTTTGCAATTATTTCAGCATATTTTTACTCAATGTTTAACTTCAAATATTTGAAACTTCATAAAGTAGAATTAAATACGAACGTACTCGTAACTATGACACGTAAATATTTACAAATAGGTAACATCTTTAACAATATGTAAGCTTCAGTAATTCAAATAAAGCATCATGTATTTTCACGGAAATACATAACTGGTACAACATCAACACAGACCTAGGAAGATAAATATTGAAAAAAGTTAAACAATCAACTTAGTAAAAATTAAGTCAGATTTATTTTGATATTCATAGTTGGTTGTTTAAGACAAAACGTTCATATTATATACATAGTAGTCCATATTGTTTACATTAATGAGCTGCCTGAAAGTTAGCAAGTTGGCAAAGCACAAATACCAGCAAACAAACATTTAAGACGAATGTTCAACGAATTTCCTAAAATTGCTTCATAACTGCTAAGCTCCGTCATTATTATAGTAGTTATCTCTGTTTTGGTTTAATCGGTGTATTATGTATCATATATATATATATATATATATATATATATATATATATATATATATATATATATATATATTATGCTGATTATGTGTGAATTTGTTGAGGTTGTTACAAAAAAATACTGATTTTATTGTACTCAAACAAATCTTACGCTTATAGTTAAACGGATCGATTTGCCTCAAGGATTTAATATGAACTTGTAGATACTACCCGAATAAATCCATGGTCGATGGTTAGTTGAGATTTACAAAATCACAGTTCCATCAACTAAAAACTCATAAGATACATCTTTTTTTAACTATTCTGAACCAGTGTCTGACTACTATGCAAGTAATGGTAAGCGGTGATGATGTGCTGAACAAACATCTGTATCTCTCTAGCTTTATTGACAAGCTTCATTGTAATTCTGGACATAGGCCCTTATAGGAGTTAACAGAATGTCCACACTTAACAAGTGGATCGGCAAGCAAAGGCTCACTTGCCTCGCATCTTAGACACTGATCGGTTATTTTCTATAGAAGTAGACACCATACGGTATAACTGTGTGGTGGCGCCGTTATAGTATGTTTGATTATCTTAAACTGTCTCCATAAGGCGAGATACACAATTATAAACTATTTTGAAGTTCATTCAGAAATAACATAACATCACGCCAGTAATCCGAGGGAGTTGGCAGAGCACAAATAGCGGCAGGCTATTCGGATCATGCTTAGCCAAAATTGGACTTAGGGCATTCACATGGGCTTTGGTGGAAATATTTGAGAGAAGTAATAGGTGAACAATTTACTTTTTACGATGAATTTTATAATATAATAACTCTTCTAGTATATATGTAGATATATATGGGTCACAGCATTCGATTACAATTTTAACACCCTAAGACAAAAGGTTTAGGAAGATCAAACGGTAGTATCACAAAGCAAAACAGGAGTAGTAACATACGTATGAAATAGATATAAGTAATTTAAAAACAAGGTACCGAAATTTCAAACATCGAATTCAGACATTTCATTTTAAAGCGCGCCATACACTTTACTTTTACTTAACTGTAAGCTCTGACAGCGCGCGACATGTTATACTCCCGTTCGCTCGGGACCGTAATGGCGGGAAAATTTGAAAATTAGCAAATTTTTTGCTATATTGCAAATTTTGCTATATTTTCACTTTGAGACAATATTTATGGATAAAACTTACAGGAATTCTTGTTGAATGTATAAACTATCGAATAAAATTATTTTTGGTTGCTAGAAATTGTAATAAAATACGTAAATTACCCTGTATAGCACAGTAGTAGTATGTACTTCAATTTTAGTGACAAAATTACTACTAATTTGAATTCTACACTTTTGTTTTTGGAGAAATTTATATCAAATTGTTTGGAAATATGTATATTTTCATGTTTTATGTATTTCCATTCGTTACTCATACCAAAATATAAAATATAAAGAAATTAAAAAAATTAAATATTAATATTTTATCTGTGTGACATTTAGAACAATATTTCTAAAATAGTTTTGTGTGAATTTGAAATAAATACAACGTCAAGTTATTTGAAATATGTAAGAAAACTATATTTACTTACATTTTACACTAAAAATAAATGAGAATGTGAAAAATACCACATTTATGACCCAGCCGCCATAATTGGCCTTCCAGATTTTGAAGCACTTTTGGCAATTTACTTTTCACTTTTTATACCACAAATTATATATATATGTGTTCACTATATTACAAGGAATATAAAAAAGTATAATACTTTCGTTTTTAGTCCAGACACAAATATAAAATTCTATAAAAAAGACGGAACACCTTTATCAAAACGGCACGTGGAACGCCGAAAGTTCAGAGTGATTTCTTTTTTTTTTTTTTTTTCTAAGAAACATTGCCAGGTTATGGTTTAAAATAAAAGAGCATATCTTTGTCTTTGATACTAATATCTATTGCATAGTGTCTTTGGTTTTGTTTAAAACGAAAAAATAGTTTTTTCATAGGTAGACATGTTTACATAATTCTGATCTAATTCGATCACTACTTGGCGGGCGTAAGGTTGGTATTGCGCGATCTAATGTGAGCAGGGCTTGGTTAACAGGTTAAAAGCTGGTTTATATAATTAATTTCAAGTGCAATTTAAATCCGGATAACATATTTGGACGGAATGTACCATTTTTCAATTAATGGGTTCGCCTAATTTATTTTTTTCTTTTTAGCATTTTTGCGCAAGTGTAATTTTTGTAATTTTAGAGTAGCAGAAGATAAGCGCGATAAATAATTAATCTAATCAGTAGCAAGTGATTTTACTTGTAATATCTGGTCGTCATCATTACAGCCCTTCCCAAGTCTGACAACAGGTTGACTGTGTGCTTGTTTGTCACCCTTATTGTATAATAGAAAATAGAAATTGTACGAGCATATAGTATGTATGTAGATGTAGAATACTTTATTTGTATGTTTTTTTTAATTCTCTCACCCATCATTTATCATCACATTTTATTAAGATCCACTGCTGAATATAGGTTTCTCTCCCCACGTAATCCTTATAGGAAAAATATTTGCCATAGTTGCCACGCTTGGGCGGCCGGTTGGCAACTATCTGTGGGCAACAGCATGCACTTACCATCAGGTGGACCGTGTGCTAGTTTGTCACCCTTATTCTATAGATAAACACACTTTAACTTTATAAATAAGTCGGGTTAGGTAACGATACCTACCGGAAGAAGAGGATTTCGGCCTGGGGCAACGTCAAACCGTATACTCAGGTCGTAAGGTGTTTGTCACACAATGCCGGTTGCGTCAGCGGGGACCACAAGCAGTTGCGACACGAGCCAGCCCGCCACAGACGTGACATGGACAAGTGCAATGAATGCCGTGGTCTATGTGCGTCCGTGCATAATACTTATAGTATATTGAACACACTGTCAGATTGCGGATAAGCGCTATGTTTATTTAGTTTATATATACATACATAGCGAATACATATAATAGTTTTTTATATAATTTTTTTAAGTTTAAATTCGGACAGCTAAAATAGATTAATTTGAAACTTGTATTTAAACACACTTTACGACTTTCAACGTTGTACAAACTTTACCCACTTTTAAAGCTATTTGAAAATAGTTAAGTTATAAATTTATTATCGAATAGAATAAAATAATTTTTTTCAACATAAAATACAAGTAATTCTTACTGAAAGTATTTATTTTTAATTTTACCACTGGTTCGGAAAAAATATCTGTCCTGGAAAGAACCAGTAGGAAACCCAGCGAGACATTTTTAAAAGTAAAATTTTACTATAAAATACAGGTTGTATAAACTGGTTACAAAAGTTATATAAGAAAGCTTAGTGGAGCACCCACCTCAAAAAACATAACAAATTTACTTTTAAATCTTTTATGGTACTCAGTATATTTTTGCAGGTACGAATTAGATAACTCTTATGGAATTTTGCACTCACCCGTTGTTCTTGTATTGGTAAAGCCAACAACTCTGAACATAATTTATAAAGGACTTGGTTCCTTTTTCTCACTTGCTGTTTAAATGAAATTTTTTTTTTGGTTTTTTTCAATATATAATTTGTGTGTACTTTCCGAAAATTTTTTATTTAAACGTGTAGTATTAGCTTAAAAATAAGAAATCATTTCATGTGCTGGTGGAGGGATTTTCCTTCCAAAATCAAATCAAAGGTGTATGAAATAGGAATACGATAAATTTTTTACATATAAAACAATGATCCGACCATATTCAAAACATATATGCGTGTTTTTTTTTTTTTTAATTTGATATATATATTTATATATATATATATATATATATATATATATGGGGTATAGGAGGAACTCACATAATCACGCACACACACACGCGCGCACGCACGCACGCCCGCACGCACGCACGCACGCTCGCACGGACGCACGCACTCCCGCCCGCACGCACGCACGCACCATAGCTCGCTGAGCGATCTTGAGCGTCCTCATACGGCCAGCAGTGGAAGGACCACGTCTCAGATCCGTAAGTCATCACTGGCAACACGCACTGGTTATACACTTTAGTTTTCAGAGATTGAGGTATACCTGACGAGAAGAT